CCTCGGACCCGCCCAACAACTCACAAAGTAGAACCCTCCACCACCCAGAGATTCGAACCCTCCACCCCACCCCGGTACCCACCTGCGTGAGATGTCCACCTGCACCGAGTGGTCAATCACCATGTCTGTCGGGCAGATGGGGTTGATTTTGTCCGGGTTTCCGCCCAGCCGCTTCACCGCGTCACGCATGGTCGCAAAGTCCACCACCGTGGGCACGCCTCTGGAATGAGAGAAGGAAAAAAACAAAAACCCATCAACTGTCAACCCCTCTAGAATGACAGAAAGAAAAAAACCAAACCCATCAACTGTCAACCCCTCTAAAACGACAGAAGGACTAGAATGACAGAAGAAATAAAAAATCAACAGTCTAGCCCCCTGGAATGAGAAAAGGACTAGAATCATAGAAGAAATAAAAATCAACAGTCCAGGCCCCTGGAATGAGAGAAGGACTGGAATGAGAGAAGAAATAGAATCAACCATCAACTTTTCTGGAATGACAGAAGTCGTCAACCCCTTTGGAATGACAGAAACAAAAGAATCAACTGTCAACCCCTTTGGAACGATAGAAGAAAAGGAATCAACTGTCAATCATTCTGAAATGACAGAAGAAAAAGAATCAACAGCCTGCTACCCTGGATTGATAGAATAAAAAGAATCAACCATCAGCCCCTCTTGAAAGACAGAAGAAGAACAGATAGTTTTAGTAGAGGTTTTACGGCGCTCGCAACTGCATAAAGGTTATATTAGCGCCAGAAGAATAGAGGTGTTACAAGGGAGTATAGTAACAAACATAAAAATGAACGAGGGGAGATAAAGACGATAGATGTTTGATAAGTGATAAGAAAGAAGGAGCAAACCACACCAGAGCACCCGCCGACCACCCACACATGAAGATCTTACACATTCAATAAACACAACACAACATACAACACACATCCACAAAGAAACACATACACAACACAGAAAAAGACAAAAGCATGTGAAGTCCATATACACCCCACAAACACACCACAACATACACGCTCCCAAATACACAACACAGAACCCCCCCCCCACATAAACGTGAAGTCCTCACAACCCCCCACAAAAACAACCCACACACACACAGTTCATACAAAATCCCACACACACACACGCCAACAAACACACACAGTTCACACACACGTTAAAAAACAACACAGAATCCACACATACGTAAAGTCCTTACACACCCCCACAAAAAAAATACAACACACATCCACAAAAACACACACACATGCACACAACCACAAAAACACACACACACACACACACACACACACACACACACACACACACGCACCCGTGCCAATAAACACACACACACACACAGACACATTTTCTTAAAAACAACCCAAACTCCACACATATATGAAGTCCTTACTCTCTCCACAAAAACAACACAACACA